TTTAGGAGCAAGGACAAACTTACAACAAAACAAGTAAGCAAGTTGGTATAGGTGGTTTCCTTGTTTCTTAGAGGAAGGCCATCCAAACATACTCTATAATATATTTAAATTTATTTGTTTTGACAGCAAATAAAAGAATCTATTTTAAATAGACCAAAATGCTCCCTTTCATTGTTTTTCAATACACTCTTATTGTGATTTCATAAAGAAACATTGTCTTCTTATACATCTTTTTATGATCTTCTGGTACTTATCTCGTGACTTTTTACTGCCTCAACTTACCCTCAGAACAAACAACTGACTGTAGATTCTGATACAGACCAAGTTATTTTGTCTTATGTTCCATCACTAATGCATAACAAACACCCTAACACTCCTACATACTTTCTTAGTGGGAGCCTACAATTATCAAAGATCACATGAGTATTTTCCAACTCCTTTCCAAGACGTTTGGCATTTTAATAACCCACACATTTCCACAGAATGCAGTTGTTGTTTTCTTTATGTGTATCATCAATAAAGCTTTGTGAACAGGCTTCAGACGTGATCCTTCTTTAGTCACTGAATTGGTTCTGTGAGCATATACTGTCCAGTTGGCCCTTATTTAAAGCAAGATACACATTAGTCAAATTGTTTACTTCATTGAAAACAGTATGATTTAATTGTACTTGTCCTCCTGTTCAATACAATATGAACTACTCATACTGTTACCTGGAAACCAACTTACATTTTAAGACAAGACAGTCTGCTTTTGCGAAGGCTGAAGACAAACATATGGGCCTATTTAACAGAAAAGGAGAATGGAACCCCAGAGACCACATCCATACTACAATTCAGAAATATACGTATATATGAGATATCAGTTCTTTCAAGTGGTACTTAGTACCACTCATACCAGGATTCTGTGATTGCATATTTTAGATTAAAACAGGAAGACCCAATATTTCCACACTGCAAAAGCAGTGCTATTTCTTGGGCAGGGGAGCGGTGTCTTCTTTTATATATAGTTTCATATTTTGATTTTGCTATCTAGATCACAATATATTCATAAATCTGAATGCATATCACAGTTATTATAAAACTGTGATAAGCAAAAAATTAGGAATACAGGAAGCAGTTTTATACTGAGTCAAACCTTTGGTCCATCTAGCTAAGTATTTTCAATACTGACCTGATGCAGATGATCAGGCAATCCATTGTTAGTCATGGACCATTTTTGAGCATGCTGGTACCCTCCTATTCCCTATTTTCAAACAATGCAGAAACACATGGCTGTTGTTGGGTTAGAATTCTAACCCTAAACAATCAAGAATGCTAGGTTTTTATGTCACAATAATGGGATGTTCCCGGGATGTTTTGTAAAACAGAGGTAATGAACACACGAGATGATGGTGTCATTTGCTGTTGCACGGGTTTAAGTATGAGTTAAAACAACCCACAGTAAGCCATTCTAAGGAAAGTGAGTCATGACCTACGTACTAGCTTCCAAAGTCTTAGGCAGGTTTCTTCAGCAGCCCTTCTTGATGCCCAGAGATTGAACCTGGAATGAACCCTACTTCTAGACTGCTGTAGTAGCTTAGCAAGTGTTTCCCCAACTTCTTAAATAAAGTTCTATCCTTCATCTGTAATAACTTAGATATAGATTTCTACTTGAATATATTCATCATTCCACTGTATAAATCACAAGGACAGTAGCTAATGGGCTCCATGTCAAGCCACCAGCCAGTATCCCAACTACTATTTTTGTGCATGGCTCTGGTTGGTGAATCTTGGTGTTCTAGTAAAAATAAAAATACCTCAAACTTGAAATATGCCCATTCCATTGTTCATTACTGGAATGAAGAAAAACTGCATATTCTTCAAAGGGGTTTTTTTCCATATTGCTTTTTAAACTTTAGACCACAATTCAAGTACAACAAATGTGCCATCAAATGTGGTTGCTTGTAACCCTCTTCAGAGGATTATGGGCATACAATGGAGTGGGTGAGAAGCCCAAAGGCAAGGATTGCCTTCATGCATCCCTCCTCCCCCAAAATGCTTAAACAGCTGTTTTCACCTATTTATGCATGTTACACCTGCTTGAAAGGATGATGGGCTGAGGCAACTCCAGGACTTCTTGTATCCTAGTAGAGCCCTACTCTTCCCATCCCTCTTCTCCAGAATACCCTTCCTCCCATGTTGGTTCCAAAGTCAAATTTGTGACTTTGTGACTCAGCATGGGGAAAAAATGTGCTGCGAGGTGGGGGTCCCATTTAAATTCAGAGTCCCAACTCCAACTTCAGAGTGCTTCTGCAAGGCTGGAGCTGGGATTTTGAATTTTTCTATGGTTATCTGAGCAGAATCTAGCAGCCACAAGATTGAACCCTTGGTACTAGCTCTTAGTACTGCATCGTTGATTCATTTAGCATATACATCTAAAACAGATTTTATTTTTATGGGCAAAATGTTCTTAAGTATGTGAAAAAAGATCCTATTCTATTTTTAAAGTCTTATAAATTTATGTATGAGATGTGGTATATATCTCTGTTATCTTAATAACCTAAATTTCTATGAAAGATGTACATCACATTTCACAGACATTTATAATTGAATTTCCCAGAAATTTGTTTACTACAGTACAAAGAAAAATAGTAACAAAACTTTAATCTATGAGAAAATGTTTATAGCCTGTCCAATAACCAAGGTGTGGATGAGGTGAAGTTAAATTTAGAAAACATACAATTTATCACATTCCTGTTTTTTAGAAGTTTTTTCAAGTGATTCTGAAAGATCAATAAGAAGGGGGAGTTCTGTGGTGCAAATTATTAATTATAGAAGCTGTTTATTACAGTAATGATGCATACTACAGTCTTCAGGTGATATCCCAACTATGAATAAAAGTGAAAAAAGGGTCGATGGCCTTTTCCAGTTTAAAAAAAGAAAAGAAACTAAATGCTCAATACTGGATTAGTGCCAAATAATAACTTGACTAACATCTCAGAGATAAATAGAATATGCATAACTGACCTGGCCTGCCCACTTCCTAGCAATATTTTTCTTTTTCCTCCATGCTTTGTATTCAGTTCAAGAGCACCAAAGAATTAAGTTTCAACCTGCAAGTCTTTCTATCAGCATCTCACATACATTTAAGGATCACTTCTTGCAACCAAATCCCTTAGTGATTAGCAGCGCCTAACATTTTCAGTTAGGAATTGCTGCAAAAATGGGTATCAGAGCACTGCATTCTGTCTTAGACAAATGTAAGAATCAACCAAACTTCTGGCACTTGTTGAAAAACAATTTAAACAAACAAAACAAAAACCTCCACACTGAAGGCAATTACCAGAACAACATCAACTATATAAACCTTCAATGGATTGGACAACGTGGCCTCAAAGCTTCACTCCACGCTCTAAAATTCTATTATTCTACTCAGTTCCTCAGAATCTAGTGAGAGTCACTTCCAGGTAAGGTGCACATGCATGCATACAAAGAGGAGTGACACTAATAAGTAATGAGACTTACTTTGCCATAAAGATGAAGATCCAGCTGTAACCCTCTGCACACTTGAGGGACAGTGTCATGGCTCAGTGTTCAAGTACATGCCTTGGATGCAGCAGGTGCTAGGTTCATTTCCTGGCATCTTCAGGTAAGTTTGGGAAAAACAGCCCATTTGAACCCTGAAAAGCTGCTGCCAAACAGTGCAAAAAGACTGAGCTATGTGGGCCAATAATCTGACTCAGTATTAGGTAGATTCTTATGCACCAAGGGGTAAGCTTCACTGAATCAGCAGGCTTTTGAGTAAACATATATTCAATCAAGCTAAATGGGCATTCAATCATGAGAATGTTCTTATATGGGTAACACTTCAGCGCAAGATGAAATATTTGATTGTAATACAGACAATAAACCACCTTATTTATCACACATGATTGATTTTTTTTTCCCTACAATATAGGACACGATATAGTATAAGAAAACACTCGTGCAAGAAGGGTCCCTGAAATGCAGCAACAGGTATCTATGCAAAGTGATGCATAGATACTAATGACCACATTGTGAGGCATAAGCTTTCATAAATTACAACTTAATACATTAAATATATGAAGTGGAACTGAGAAATGTGGATAGCTATGATAAAGGTGGGTATGAAATGGTATCTTTTGCCACATCAGATTGTAGTAAATGCTTGTTAGTTTTCCAAATGTGGCAAATTTGCAAATTTCCCTTTTTACCCTAGCAAAATTCTGTAAGTCATACACAGACAAGCTTTACCGGTATGTGTTTCAAATGTAAATGTTGCAGTCCTGGAAGATATTTCATTCCAGCATCATTCATTCAAATATTCTAAGAAACTTACAGCCCAAGCTTATACATGTTCTTGTAAATTCCTCAAAATAAGTCTGGTCACAATTCATTGCAACCTTATCAGTGCTTCCATTATGCGGCTGTGTAGTTGTGCTTCTGCCATAAACAGAGTGCACATGACCATTCAAGGACCGGCAGACAATGGGATCCAAATGATATACTGCAGTAAGGGCTACAATATGATGTTTAGAATATAGCTTGTTTCACTTGGAAAACACCTTTCTGACCCTACACGGAAGATCACATCGATTAACAATATCTTAAAGCCACTTTTTAAACAACACATTTAGAGCAATCAAAAGTTAGATTCCTTCGCTTTTTAATGTAAGCTTGTGACTGGAATAAATACCTTTATAAAATAATAACAATGGTGCATAAGTAAAAGGGTGGAAGCTGTCAGTATAAGGGTGTGCTCCTATAGACTTAGAGTTATTTATTTATTTTATGGAGTTAAAAACCCTTTGAGTTCTGCAGAGGAGGGAAGCACACACGCAAGGAAAACTCTTGATGACCAGTTCATATACACCCTTCATTACCAAAGCTTATGGTTTGGGTGCCACTGACAAGGCAATGGAGAAGCAAATGGGGCGCGGGGAGAGGCAGAGAGAAGAGAGATAATCTAAAGTCATCAACACTGGCCAGTATCTGCTTACCCAAGAGCAGCAATTTCACTTCCCTAGCCGCTTTCTCTCCATCCTCCTTCAGGTTCCTGTCGATCATTTTACTCCGCTCCACCGCCGCCTTGTCCTCGGCGCTTAGGGTGCAGCCCATCTTGGGGTGCTTGGGGTGAAGAAGCAGAAACTTCAAAATTAAAGAGGGGAAGAAGAAAGAAATCCTCCTTTGTTTTTCCGGAATATTTCGTATCTTACCAAAATAACTGTTAGTGGTGAGGAAAGAATGATCCACTTGCCCCCTCCAGAACAAGCGGCTTTTAAAAGTGTCCAATTATCAGTAGTCCAAAGCCTGAGCAAGTCAGCAGGTACAGATGCAGCAAGGTAGCTAAAGCCGCCCCCACAGATGCATTACAATAGGTATCGGGGGAGGGGGGACGAGAACCCACCGCTAGCCCCTAACCGCCCGCTCAGGCCCTCCTCGTTTCTTCGACTGTCCTGAACTTTCCGCTGAGTGGGGCTGTGCCTCAGTTTCCTCCCAGCAGAGGAGATGCTGTTGCCGTTTGCTTACAACCAAACGAGCTCCACAGGCGGCGGCGGCGGCGCCTCTGCCCCCTCGCACAGCAACAGCCGCCACCGCAGCAGCAACGGCGGCGCCTCTCTCGCGGGGGCGCGCGCGCGAGACACCAGCGGACCCCTCCTCTCCCGGACGGACTGGGGAGTCTCGCTCGGCGGCGCGCGCACCCGCGCGCTTCTATCTATCCTGTGCGGAGGTGCTCGCTCTGAGCTTCAAGAAAGGGGAGCGGGAAGAAGGAGCGGGGGGGGGGGCAGAGAGAAGGACAAAGGAGCGCATGTGCGAAGAGGCGACGGGATGAGGGTGTGGAAATAGTTAATGTAATACGGGCGATAGTGGGCAAGAGGAGGAGGAAAGCGGACGAAAATACTGAAGGGCGGTGACCATTACTTCACTTCCACTCCATCCTGATTCCCCCGCCTCTCTCTCTCTCGCTTGCGGCGCCCGCGTGACCGCAGCACGCGCATTATTTAAATCCATAAATAAATAAACAGGGGAGGGGACCGTTAACGGTTCTACGGTGTCCGATGCAACCAATTTAAGCGGCGGCCCTGGGGGGGGGGCGAAGGTGTGGCAAGGTGGATAAAAGGGAAGAAAGGAAAGCAGCAATGGGGTGCTAGAGTATGTCGGTTGTGTCGCACCCGAACAGGACCGGCATCGTTTGGTCCGAAGTGTCCCTGTGGACAGCCAGGACCATTCAGAGGGAGAACAACGGGGGAGTGAGGAAGCCAAGCAGGCGGTGGCGTTGCTGACGAAACTCTCGAAAATCTTCCCCAGTGGAAGCGGGGCCCAGGACGGGGCATGGCAACGGCCGCCCTGTATTGTAGCCTGCACTGACCGGAGCAGACAGTGGAGAATTTCCTGCCTAGTGTCCGCGGGGTCCCCTGCAAGTGAAGGTGCAAATGTCTCCTCTGTCAAAGGCTTCCACTGTTGATTAGAATTTCAGGTTGCCGGTCTTGTGACCTCTTGCTGGGAGGACGCTTCCTGCACTCAACTGGATTAACTTTCAGGGTGGATATACCTAGGATCGCGCTGCCAGCCTCCTCAGTATTTGCAGCTTCTTTGCGGCTGCACCTGCACCTCATCGGGACTTACTTCTGTATAGGCGTGTGAATGCGTTGTGATGGTACATGTTTATGCATTGTCAGACAGAAAAAGGCCCTATAGCTCCCAGCACGGGACCTTTTCCGCGCTGAACATGCACTGGATCGTACCCCATTTATGCAGCACAGTGCTATGCACTTTTATGCTAAAGTAAGTTCTACTGTGTCCTTCAATGGGTATTACTCCCAAATAGGGAATTGCTTCAAAGTAAGGTGTGAAAATAGATCCCACTGAAGCCTGTATGTTGTCAGGTTTATATGCCACTTTCCTGTGGTGGATCAAAGCAGTGCACAGAAATGATAAAAACATGAAGCATGACAAAATAAAGAGCACCATCCAGTGCAGCTGCCCTACTTGGGAGGACTGCAAGCACCCAGTGGAGGATGGAAGTGATGAGGAGGTGAGGATTGCCTTAGTACTCCTGCCCTCCAAGACACAAATGGTCAATCTCAGCCAAGTGTTTTAAGCCCGTTCAAAAAGAAATCTACAGCCAATGCCAGGATTTCCCATGCGATGGCAGCTTTCCCTCCCCACCTCCAATTCTAACCTCATTTCAAGAAGTGTTCTTGAGGTAAACTCCCAGAGCATGCAGCATTGTCAGAAGGAATGCAAAAGATCAGCAAAAGACATAATACATGATGCAGTCCCTAAACTAGCCTGATCCCAAGTTGTAGTGTAGTTCTGTGTAGCCTGTGTAGTTCTTGTAAGAGATATAACTTGGCAAAAAGAGGTCTGTTAGAAGTCTTGCAACAGCATTCTGTACTAGTAAATGCCTCTTAACTGAAGAACAGGTCTACATAAAACATATAAAATAATCCCATCTTTCAGGCTACCAAATTCCTGAACGTCTGTGGTCAAGCCATTCATCAATTAAAATGAATCCTCACTGAAATCAACAGACATCTATTTAGTCACAATCCAGTACAGACATGTGTTGTAACTTTTGGGCCACAAGAGGACCAGCTTTATAATTGAGAAAAAAAATTCTCTCTTGCCTGAGATTCTCCTTTGAAAAATTTGATTTATTTTGATAGCAACTTGCCATACCACACATACATGGGGAATATTTTATATCAACTTTAAATAAGAACAATTCTTCCCTCCCTCTTTTTTTGTATTCCCAAGTCTCCTGCTCATACAAACAGCTCTTAAAATAGTAGGTCAACCAATATGGAATGCACTTGAAAGTTCAGGGTTCAATCATCAATTTTTCTTGGAAAAAGTTGCTTCATACACTGAACACATGAGAGAAAACAGAATGTATTATTTGCAAAGAAAATTGCAGACAACATTAGTATTTGGCTGACCTGTGTGTTCTTTTACTTATCTCTTGTATTTCTTCCAATATAGCCAGCAGCCATCATCTTCTAATTGGGTAAGTCCCAAAGTTGCAAGTGGCAATTTGTGGTGGGGAAAGACTGAAAATGGAGGCTTATACCTTCCTTTTTTTTTCCTCCCAGGATAAGCCTGATTGAAACACAATGTCATCCACAGGCAAGACACTTATTTATTTAATTATTTAATTATTATATTTATATGCTACTAAGTAGGCCAAAGGGCTTTCTAGGTGGCATACAACAATCAAAAGACCAAAATACAATTTTACATTTACAAAATACTAAAATTGATATAATCACCAAAACGCATTTATTAAAATATACATAAAAATAGTAATTTAACAAAGATAATTGCAAATCATGTTCTGGTGAAAGACCAACTATTAATAATCTATTAAACCACTTGAAGTTAATAAAATCATCTTAAAAGTTAATTATTAAAATAGGTGAAGAAGAGGAATGTTTTTGTCTGGTGCTGAAATGAAAGTGGAGACACTTTAGAGCCGCAAGCAGGGTGGATGGCAGCCACTAAGAAGGCCCTTCTTTTATTAGCCATTCCTCTCACTTTGAGGGATAGATCTTTCAGAAGAGCCTCTTGCCCAGATGTTAATAGGTGGATAGGTATATACAGGAAGCCAATCATAGTTTGTCATGTAAAACGTTGGTATGGCTGCCAGCCACCTCATATGTAATTGCTGAGTGCATTCCCTCATATAGATTGGCTGCTGGAATGCCAGGACATTTTTTTTTCAGGCCAGAGACCATTTCTGCAATGCATACTAATAAAAGAGAGTTGTCAATGGAATGGGACTTAAAGTAGTACTAGAATGGTTATCTTCAGTCTCAAATCTTCAGTTCATCTTAATGAAAAAAACAAAAAACTGTATTTAATATTATTAACTTTATTTGGCTTTAGAAGGAGACAGAGTAGTTTGTTAAATAAGAGGCGTTTAGGGTCTAGCTGCTTTATTTGGTCTGTCTTAGACATAATACTCACTGCAGTTACTGTAGATGGGTTTGTTAGTCAAATAGGCAGGAGGAAGCAAATCGCCTTCCCCAAGTGCAAGAATTCCAGGGCTGGAGGATAAATAGGGGTGGGGAAGGGAAGCCTGTACTTAAACAAAGAATACAGAAACTTTATCTAGTATGGTAAACTGGCCATTCCTCTTTCACTTCCTTATCCAGTTTTGTGGATAGGTAGAGATGACATTCCACCAGTAACTTGTGCTTTTTTTGGCACCACAGTTTTCCTGACTCATGTATGCTCAGCTCTGAGAGAAACAGGAAACATTGTGGCTTGGGATTGTTCTCAAATTGCAAAGCCTTGAGTCTGACCTATGTGAAGAAATCTCAAATGGTCTGTGGGCTTCTTTCCTAACTCTGTATATAGGATATGACCTAGGTGAACAGTGGAAGAGAATACACAGAAACAAGGAACATACTGCTGATTTTTTGCAAAAAGAGTTAACAAAGTGGAAAATGAACGAACTCGAAAGAAATGGGGTCATTCTTTACATAAACACTACTCCCTATAGGATTTATGTATTTATTTAGACCATTTCTATGCCTAAAGGGGATGCTTTTCCCCTTGGATTCTCACAAGCATGATAATTCTAAATGGGATCTGAGCAATTGACTAGTTGAGTTGTGGCATAACCTCACAAGAAGGAGCTGCTGGTTTCATCCTTTCCCACATACTTAGCCCTCTGGCAGCAAAGACACTTAAAAAATCTGCTGATGGCCTCACTAGTCCGCTGTCTCAGTTCTTCAGTAGTATCTGCAATCAATACAGTGATTTCAGCCACATAGTGCCCCAGAGTAGTGTGGTTTCTAGTGGGAAAGAAAGCAAGAAGCTGTATTGGATTTTATAGTTTTATGTTATGTTTTTATGGTACATGTTGCTGTTGCTGTTGCTGCTCTTCTGAGCTGCCCAAAGAGCCTTCAGGCTATAGGGCAGCATATAAATGCAATAAATAAAATGTAATAAATAAAGATGGATCCCTGTCCACATTTTTGTAGTGGCTCTCTGTCCTCTAAATCCATCAGCAGGGCAGGCTGTCAGCAGAGCTCCAGTGAACAGTTCAGTGTGGAAGAAATAAAATAGGATGAATATAGAGCTTAGAAATGCATTGCCAGAGTGACTCTATGGATAGTCATGCAGACCATTCTTGTTTGAAAAAGAGGTGAACTAGGAAGATGCCTATACAAAATATCCCAAAGAAGGTAGTCTTCCAGCAAATGTCTAATATGGGAACCAGACCAGTATAAAGGGAAGAATCTTCTTCATAATAGACTTGGTGAGATAACATCATGTTGACTAGAAGAAGATACATAACTCTTGTAGGTAAGGCCCCTTCAACACGTGGCTCTTCAATATTCTTTCCCATCACATCTATGAATCACATCTCAGTATCTCCATGTTAGCTGATTCTGAGTGGGGAGCAATGTTCAATTATTTGTTTTAGGTGCCAGTATTGGAAAAGGGTGTGTAGATGAAGACAAGAATTGGTGTATGAATGGTGCACCAAGACTTGTTTTAAAGTGGTGGCTTCAGAGGATGCTCATTGAGGAAGAAGATGGCCCAATGAGAATTTGAATCCACTTCTCTTAGTACTGTTACACATCCAACCCAGGACTCCAGGCCATGCCTGCTTGTGGTCACACATCTGTCACACTGGCAGATTCACTACACAATGAAGCAAAGAAGCACCATACAAAAGGGTCTCGATTTGCCCCTGGCTGTCCTTGGACTCCATCCAAAACATAATGTG